CCATGCATAATCGATTACTTACGTAGTTATATGTTGTTGAGGAATCGTGTGAGCCATCTATCCCGTACTCTCCGAGCGCCTTCCATGCCTCGATTGGCACCCCATCTGGACCAACCGCCTTCCCAACCTTCATCTTCCCTAGTTCACGACGAACCTCATCCTCTGTCCAGAGTGAGATGGGACCAGCCGTCGCCTCTGCTTGCGAGCTGTCTTTGTGGGGGAACTCCTCGTTCAGAGTGCACTGTAGTACTCTTCCCACCTCCTCTTGACTTCAACTGGCTTCCTCAGGATGGTGTCGTTGCTGTTCTTTACACTCTTCACCACCGTACAAGGCATCCATTTCTGTGTTCTTCGCCTTGGCGACGGCAGCCTTAGCGAGCCTCTTGCAACTCTTGTAGGCAGCGAGGTCCTCGGGGCTCCGGGTCTTCTGCCAGCGCTTGTATGCTTCCTTCTTCTGCTTCACGACTCGCTGGACCTCCTCGTTCCAGAACCACGCTGCCTTGTCTCCTCTGAATTCCACCTCGCGTCTCGCCCAGTACCTCCTTGGCGCATCGTAGGATGATCTCAGCGCATTGCTCCAAGTCAGCTGGACTGGTCCGCCAGGATCTGGGAGGCCAGCTCCCAATACCCTCCGTTTGCTCCACCGAATTCTCCGCTCGGTTCTTACCCTTGTCTTCTTGGAGGCTCATGGCAATGTCTGCCAGGAGGGGCCTGTGCTGGGGAGCCAGTTCTTCGCCGGGGAGTACTTTGATATCCTTCACAGTTTTGAGGGATGATCTTCTTACCAGCACATGGTCGATTTCCGTCTGTCTCCCTCCACTGCTGTAGGTTACCTTCTGAGTCTCCCTTTTCGCGAAGAACGTGCTGCAGATTGCCAGATCGTGGGCTGTAGCCAGGTCCAGAACCCTCTCTCCCTCAGCGTTCCTCGTTCCTATCCCTCTACCTCCGTGCACCCTTTCCACCTTCTGTCACTGCCGACGTGACCATTCAGATCACCTGCTATGGTCAGGTAATCACCTTCGGAACCGATCTTATGGCTTCGTCCAGGCTTCAGGTAACCTCGTCCTTCTCATTCTCGGAGCAGACCGGCTGCGGGCGTATGACGAGAATATGGTCCAGTACCCCTCCTTCGTGTCTATCCTCACAGCCATGATCCGATCGCTGATCCTGTTCACTGCGGAGACATTGGTCTTGAGCGACTCCGCTACCGCTATGGCCACACCGTTCCGCTTGGTGTCTTCTCCATTGTAGTAGAGTTTGACACCTTTACCCGATTTCCCTGGCCTTAGCACTTCCCCCAAATCTTTTTAAATTTTGGAAAAAGTTGGATTCTTCATTTATGCCTCTTGTCGTTCTGATTTCCTTTAAAATTTTCTGCTTATATCGCATTTGTTTTATCGTGGTCATTAGGTAGGATAATTTGTCGACTGTCATTTTAGTTCAACACCTTTTTCCCTTGTAATTTTGAAGACAGACAGACCGCCCCAAATCAAATTCGTCGCGTAGCCAAGCTGCTGAAGGTCGTGGAGCGAACGAGATACGAAGCATATTGCTTGATTTAATTTGAATCACCAAAGTTCTAAATTATCCGCTGCGCCAACTATAGCGCCGACCTGTTGCTCTCAATGTCACGAGATGGAATTACTGATACAAAACCTGATGTTCTGTAACTTGTTCCACTCGCCTGGGAAATCTTTGCTCGACTTTCGATGAACTTTGCCTGGGTGTAGTCTATTAGTTTGAGGCTTGTGTATTCGCCACCAAAATGGCATAATCAGTTTTGCAAGCTAATGTTTTTCAGTCTTGCAGCCTTCGCTAAACCTGTACTTTGACGTAGAAGAACGACTTACATCCAAGTACCATTTCATGTTGGAACTACATTTTACCGAAGGAAATCATGAAAGCTGTCCAAACAGCGTTCCCTCCTGAGGTCAGGTCACCTAAAATTGAGACACCCGTTCATTTGCTCGGAGCAAGCTTAGGACTACGCCTAGGCCCAATCATAGGCTTAGGCATAAGCCAATGTGTAAGCATAAGTCTTAACCTAAGTCTAAACCCAAACTTAATCTTAAGCTTCAATGATCGCGCAACTGTGGTGACCTGACCCCAGGAGGAGAAACGCACGTCTCTTCCTTTGAACTAGCGTTGGACCTTAGCATGGGATGCAGTATTCCGAAATTTGAAATGGTACTTGGTTAGCCCGCATTTATCATCGACTTTCTAGGTTCTGAGTGAAATAACAAGGCTAAAAGTCTTATAAGGAATAACACTGACTGCAGCTGCACAAGCACCCAAACAAGAACTCTTAAAGGGTTTTTCACACATCTCTCTCGGTATCAGCATAACTATGCAAGCAGTCGCGCCCCTATGGTACGCTCCTTTTTTCAGGAAGGTGTCAAACTATGCGATTGCAACTGTGATCATATTTGCAGGGAGCATTCTGGTATCACACCAAAATCGCGGTGGGGCGGGCGCCGCCACGCACGCGGTACGGACAAAGAACGACCCGCCCCACTCGCGACTGGATCGCGAAGTCTGACACCTACCTCAGCGGTTGGCACTTCTAAACTGAGACCACATAAACGTAGAAAGGTTTACCATGCTAAAAATCCCACGCCCTGAACGTCGCACAAAAAGCTCAGTTGAAATGAACTATCCTACGCAAGTCTTTGAAAAGCATGAAAACCTCAGAAATTGATAGGACATGCAAAGTCGTTGAGCACAACAAAATCTCAAATATTTGTAAGATATTTATATTCACACGATTTAAAACTGCAGACGTAGAGCAGTGAATATGACTTAGAAATGTACACGGTCAGCAACAGCTTTCTAGGGTTACGTGATGAAAATGGCAAGTTTCGAATGAGTTACATTACTGGCACATTGACATATGAAGATCCGACTATGGACGGATCTTCACGCACGTTAACGACGTTAAGTAGTACAATGCTGCACAACAAATAAATATCAATACACTTAGATTCAGAGTATAAAGTGAATATAGATCAGTTTCTTATGGAATCTAGAGACTTTGTGATCAAGTGAATGACTGTGAATAATCTCCGAGTATACCTCGTAATGAGCTAGATGCAAGTGAAACATGCGAAACTCATCAGGCAAAACGTGAACGAAATGAGACGAGGGGTGAAGGGTGACGACTGACGACTACAAGGGTCCAAGACACACTGTAATGAGGCAAATCAGAGTTGGTCAGTTTGCGATCAGAACAAGAGAAAAGCGATAAGTGTACGAGGTTTCTGTCCCAGTCCATAGTTGAGCACGTAGATCAGCAACACAGCACCGATTAACTAACGACTTATAAAAAGAGACGAAATGAGCAATCACACGTAGAATCACTATGGAGTAACCAGAGGCGGCAAATGGCTGCACATGACCGATCCGAAAGCTCGAAGTTTCCTTATGGGTAAAACCGCCGACGAGATCACAGCATCAAATCCAATCATTCCTGCCTAGAGCATCACGCGTTGCTCTCACAAGTCTCCTCCACTACTCCGGAATCGAGGCTATTGAACGAGAGGCGACGAAATGTCGGCACCAAGCTGGCGCCGCCGAGGATCGCGTTCACCGGTCGGGACAGCAGACAGTCCGGTCCGTCAATCTCCGGCAGACCGCTGTCTCGCTGATTATCGGTACGCAGTGTGTGCTTCTCCATCTCCAACTCAAGCCGAACTTCTTCCATCTGGCAAGATTCCCGAATCGATTCGAGCACATCAGCGACAAAACGACACCTAAAAATGGTGAATGAGCTCTCGATGAACGCCAGTGTAGTACTTCGAAATCTTAAACAAACTACCACCAATTTTATTGCAATATCAGTGAGAATTTTTAAGAACAGATCCACGCTAGCTACCACGAAAAGTCGAGGAACGAGGCGGTCAACGACGAAAATAAAGAGAGCAAAATAATTTTCGGTAGGCGCCACAAATTCTTTTCAATGTTTCACTTCAGGGAAATCGAACGCCAACCATTGGTGGGCGTTTTTATGACCAACGAAAAGAAATTACAAAAATTCGGATTTTTAGGGTTCGCAGAAAGGCTGGAAATAATTCAAGCAGCACTGCAGATTAGTACGACTGTTTTTCAGGTACCACCGCGTTGCCCTACGAAGATCATTAACACACTGCGGACCGCTGTTGCATGAGTACCTTCGTACAACTCTATCAACAATTTTATCAGTGATGACAAGTATGGTTTCCCGCTCTGAAAATGAGTGCAAACAGTTCAGGAGCATTGAAAAATGTCAATAAATCAGATAAAACTATGCTGTTTCGTGCGAAATCGCCACATGGTGTTTAACACATTGCGTACCGCGTGCGCCACCATGTGGCGCACGATTTCACACGAAACAGCATAGTTTAATCTGATTTATTTGACATTTTTCAATGCTCCTGAACTGTTTGCACTCATTTTCAGAGCCGGGAAACCATACGTGTCATCACTGATAAAATTGTTGATAGATTAATGATGATACATTTTTGAAAAATATAAAAAAGATACGAAGGTGCTCATACAACGGCGGTCCGCAATGTGTTAAACTTCCTATATGTGCGAAAACGCATTCACAGATACCTCCGGTCCCGAGATTAGGATATATTTCAAAGCTCTACTTACGTATCAGTACTATATCCTACACTATCCTGCACATATTCCTTAAAAAACAGACTTCCACCACACCTAGGATGCGATAAAAGACGAGCGAGCGCATAAAAGGTGCTCAAGCAACTAGCAGCTAACATTTGCGCGACCCCTTCAAGAAACTTTTCGCAACAAAACAGGTTTTCGTCAACAAATCTGAATAAGAATGCTTACCTATCATCGTAATTCCTCGCATTGAAATAAATAGTCTGATTATCGGGTGCAGGTGGAGTGATTGATAAGCCGTACTCATAAGGACCTCTCTGAAAACATTTCCATAGTAAAGAATTGTAGACCTTAAAAACACTTATGGTTAGTAGTGTGATAAATTTCGTGGAGATAATAATGGGGTCATTATCAAAGTAGCCTCTAGCCGAGTACTGAGAAGTCGGAAGTGTGGGAAACCGTTCAGTAATGTAGAGGCAAAAAGGAAAAGGACCGCAAAAAAAAACAACCCTGTTAGGACTTAAACATTAGGACTCTTTTTCAGCCGCACTATGCCTTGGGTTAGAGAGGTGTGTTGGAGTCGAGTTTTATCGAAGGCTGCTGCATGCTCGCAGTGCCAGTCATTGAACCGCAATGCCCGCTACTGCATTGGCTCGCGCTTCTTCTTTCGCACCCGTCACGGTGGCACCGAGCCCCACAAAGCGTGGCTTTGCGGACGAAAGTGTGGAATGCGGGTGGGGCGAGCTTCTAGCGCCTTTGAAGAGCGCTTTCAGGTCGCAGAAGGAGCGCGACATACACTTGACCACCTGTCCACTGCGATGAAACGGTGAGCGTGCCTTTAAGTACTCATGAGAAGAAACACTACTTCACGTTCAAATGAATAGTAGTACTTGTCATCAACAAATATCCCCTTAAGGATGCCGAAGCTTGACTCTCATTCAGAGTCGCAGAAGCATATAATGGCGCTGTACTGAAGATGAAATGCACCCACGGTAATCTAGTGAATATGCTTGCCGTCTGAGGCACTAGGAATCGATCCAGAACCTCCCGCAGGGTAGAAAGCTTCGAAGGTCTGAGCCAAAAATCGGTCCGGCGATCATGCTAATGTGTAGCGACGGCGCCCGTCACTGCAATGTGTTCGCCTTACTGTGAATGCGTGGCGCACACAGCTCCAATCATGTCTAGCAAGGCCGACTTGTACGTACCCTTTATACCCGATGGTGCAGTTTACCGTGATAATCGAATTAATGTCTGATCAATCACAAGCAAAAACTGATTATTAACCAGGTAGACGGACTTCCGAACAATTTATCGCGCTCATTTCAGTACACATTCAAGTACCTCAACCATCTTACATTAGAAATATGCGTATCAGCCACTAATGCTAAAGAAGACCCGAGCATGTGGATTACCTACGAAAAACATCGCCGCGTAGCCTCTCACATTAGCCAAATGGAATTAGTGCTGGATGATTCCCACCACTTCCGTGAAAAGGGTCAACGGTCTATGAAAGAAACGGTGTACACAAGGCCGCGCCCACTACCATCGACCAGAAAAAGAAGAACACAAAAGGACAAAGCCCTTCTCCCAATCTCTGATCTTCTTGCATTAACATACGGTCGACAGGATTGTACGCAATATGATCGTCATGATTTTATGGCTGACATCAACCAATTTCACACCAAAAGCGTTATTATTGAGCTTCTCCATGTCCATTGAAAGCCAAGGCACGCCAATTGGAGACGTTTCGGAGTCTCCAATCCCGCAAATGTTTGAAGATCACGAGGGGATGAATCAAAGTTCCATGATCGGGTGGGCCGGATACGTCATGCGATTCGGGGGCAATCATTGAACAACAGTTGTCAGCGACTGCATTCCGTGGGTTGTCAAACAGACACCAGAGTTCAAATTTTTCTAAAACTCGTCAAGTATCAGGCAAGAATCGCGCAAAATTACGTTACAGGATTGAGAGTGACGGCAACTCGATGTGAAGTGAATCCTGGCAGACTAAGAGGGAATACGCAAATCAAGCTATAATTTTCAAAAGAAAGGCGGAGGATCAAAACTCAGTTGTCGATCGAGAAAGTGTCAAACCTTGAACTCGAGTACAGATGCTCCTAACAACGGCATCCAATGTTTCAGAGTATACGACGTATGAGCAGATGTTCGACGCTTGTTGATGGCTTTGGCAACCTATGAAAACACATGCATGGTTTTCAAAAGAAAGAAAATAATATGGAAGTCCAGAGAAAACTCACCACCAACATATCGTTGAACAAAAATACGTCTCGTTCGTGAGATCCTATGGACTGCTTTCGTGAGGGATCCATCACCTGTTGTAGCCGACAGTAGCACACCAGACGTCGCTGAGTCTCAGTTAATCGCTGGAACAATATTAATGTAATATTATCTCCTCCAAAATAAGCGCATATTGAGCAGTAGTTGGTGTGATGCTCCTTGAATAGTTTTGTTTTAAAAAAGAGAACAACTGTGGACGATGTGGCAATCAAGCTTTGAAATTGAGCGTTCGAGCGGTATCGGATCAAATCTTCCACAGCCTGTCAAATCTTTTTGTTGTGATAGATTTGGAACCAGAAGTTAG